AATTGTTCTAGGAAGAAAATATCAATTACTTTTTTAATAGTTAGATCGGTAACGCATACAACCTACAATGGACCACTAGACAAGGTACGAATTTGAGCATTCTGATACATGTTTCTTAACCAAAATTTTACGTAGAACACGATTCTTACAACAAAAATTACTGAAACCAGCTTTTAACGAAGACATTAACGTTTTTATTTCACATTGTTCACGAGGAATTTGAACTGCCCGCTTACAAAAAACTCAAAGCTCTACATGAGTCAAATTGCGCACTACAACGGTTTCAGCAAGCTTCTCAATCGAGCAATGTTCATTTCCCACCATGTGTAGTTCAAACTATAAGCAATTTGCTACAGCTGAGCCAAAACGTCAAGATTGAAGTCGCCAAATTTTTACATCGCAGAGACTATCATGATAACGTATAGCGCGCGATGTGATTCACGTAGAGCATTGAGTTTTCATAAGCGGGTAATTTGAATTCACACACTAAGAATCATTAAATATCTTCTGAAGGAGTTGATTTCGGTAATTTTCGTTGTGCGCATCGTGTTTTACGTAAAATTTTGGTTAAGAAACATGTATCAGAGTGCTAAAATTCGTACCTTGTCTAGTGGTCCATTTTGATCGATACAAGTTTTAGCTCTTTTTCAATCCACTCTTTCCGCCGAATTTGTCTTCTTTTGCAATCCAACTAAATACATTTCTAATTTAGTGAAGTTGTTTATTCTATTTACACAGTCAGCTAATTGTTCCCTTCGACTTGTCAGTGGTATTCAACCGGCTTCTCCCCGTGGTATCTATCAAGCTACACGCATCTTTGCCGAGACAATAAGTTGATTTTGTTATTCCTAGCTCAACCAACATCTTTAAACCACCCCAGAAACATTCATTTTGTGAGGCGAGGATCAATATGCGGTAGCTTACTATTTAAACTGGTTATTGTCAAGTGAACGTTCTTGAGTTAGCACGGTCACTGCGCAGCAATAATCGCCGAGTACATCAGGTAGGTCGGCCTAGTAGTCAGCTTATCTGACTTTAAGTCAATCAGTCTGGGGTAAGTACTTATCCTATTCGTGGCGATAAATTCTCATGGAACTGACGAGTAGGTCTGCTGAAACAGATTTTACTCGGCCTTAATCCATGATGCTGTTAAAACTTAAATTGGATAACCACTAACCCCTCATCCCTAAACCCTATTCCAACGTTTCAGTATTCTTAAATGATTCAAAACCTGAAACGAATACAAAAATTGCTAAGTAAACCGGTTACTGCTCAACTATCACTGCTGAGTCAGCACGGTCACTGCTGAGTATTCACTACTCAGTATACCGGTCACTGCGAAGCGATCACTGCTAATAAATATACCAGCCGCTGGTAGACAAGTGTATTCGGATTTGATCACTCGTCGAAAACAAATACTTTCTTTTCCCTCAAACTTCCCTGTCCTGATCTTCTATCCCCGCCCCTCCTCAATAAAAATCAATTTATTAGCATTTCTCGGACAGTTGAGTTCTAGTCTACAAACGATATTGCGGGTAGGCAGCTGTTGAATATTAAGGGCTAAGAAGTATTAAAAATTTAAGAACAGAATTACAAACAAGAAAAGAAAAGAAAAAGACACACATATTATGAAATCAATCGGAAGACGGACTCGGAGAAAATGGATGAAAACGAAGTTATAATAAAAAAAAAAAAAAAAAGATAGAAAAAATAGATAGAAAAATAGATCTTCTCGTTACTGATCAGAAATTAATCTGCACCCTGGTAAAAATGGCAAGTAACTCTTGAATAATTTGTTTTACCTTCTTCGTTTATGATGGCACTTAAAAATGGAGTAGAATTGAATTTCTTCTGAATTTATCAAACAAAATTATTACAAATTCAAAGAGTAATAAAAAAATAGAACAATAAATAATTGATGAGTTTGAAGAACCTGTAAATAAAAGTCAATTAAATGTTGAAAATCTTTGGAAAAATCTGCTGAAAACTCGTGAATTATAAAATTTGAAAACAGTAAAGTTCATTGAAATTTGTGAAGTATGTACAAAGTAACAATACAATTTGAGAAAAATTTCAAAAGTTTCCGAAGTACGTTTGAACTATTAAAAGTCAAGCCTTTCCTACTGTTTTAAGTAAGGTTCAAAGTAAAGTCAAGGGCATTGCTGTACCTATGAATGAAAATGGAGCAGAAGTCCTTTTAGATCTGGTTGCTGGATCCCATGATTGGCTGATTTTCGCGAAAGCTGTTGTTTAGTTCAGAGAGTTGGTGTCTGTACAGATTTACCTCTTCTCGGATTGAGTTTGCAAGGAAGGAGGACCTTTCCGTACCCCCAATTTTGCGTTCCAGGTCGCCAATCGAGGAATTAATAGCTGTGAGTTGGGGTAACCATTCTTTGAGTGGAATAGTGATACCCAGCATCCAGTGGTGGCCAGAGATCAGGATCGATGATTCATACAGGAAAATGATTCCAGAATTTGATTTTTGTGGTTCAATAGTTACATGGATTGCCATTGTGCCGACAACGAGTCCCAACAGGGTTGCCAGTACGCGATTTCTGCAAATAAATCGAAATACACATTATTTTGGTGAATTTCTTGCATGTGCGGATTACTCTAATAGTTTGGGTAGGTATTTATTTTCCCCCGCTATTTCTTCATTCCAAGTTTTAACCGTAAATTGATAATTTGGCAATATCGGACCCCATAACATTATTCCGAGATGGACTGCCACTACTTCTGTTTCATAATCGGATAGATTTCTCTTATCATCTAGGGTTCTATACACAACATCGATTAATTCGTTGTTATGGTACAATTCAGCATTTATCCCTGTGTTCCAAAAATCTGTACAAATATTGACTCTATTAACTACGGGTAGTGGCATATTGACACAATAAAAAGAAATTAATCCCCCAACGGGTTTAGGTACGGATGAGAGTTTTCAAATTTCCAAATAATTTAGACAGTGCTGTTAGGCATGATGTTTCTGCAGACGGTGAGAATTCGGCATTAGAGGTGGTCTGACTTCCAATTCTTGAGTCTTTGCGGGGTGAATCTTCTTATGTAGTTCTCTTGGAATCCGTTTGTTCTGGAGCCTGGACCTTTCGGCAGCTTGGCTAGAGTTTTGAATCCACGAGCTTCCAAAGAAAATCACCGCTGCCACCAGTTGGCGTACCCTTGGGGTAGCGTGGTGAAGGGTAGACAAACGAAGTCGGAACTCGTAGGATAACACCGAGCAGGACCCAGAAGGGACGGCGAAAGCGAGAGTCAGCAGAAGAGCTTCGCGCCGGGGGAGCCGTATGTATTTATATCGATGCTATCCTGATAAAGGGTTGCGTTGGTAAGATGCACACGGCTCAAGAGTACACATACTCTTGACCAGTTGCCAGTGTGCCCTAATATTGGGCCACTCTGGCATCCAGTAGTGCTCAAGACGATGGAGTGGTGGTGTGGGGCGCGGGGGCGTGCCACAAACATGAGCAGTGTGCTCCAAAGCAAGTTTCAATTCTAACAGGAATGAATTCGCTTCAGCGAGTTTACCACGTATTCTACGTCCATAGACGTTGGCTCTATTTGCTTGTTGACTGACGTTAGATTCAGTTTCTAATCGATAAAAAGCTTTTGACAATATTTCTGTTTCGGAAGTTGAATTTTTTACAATTGATAAAGATCTACCTTGAAAAATATCCAAATTTTTTATCACTGTTATTTGTTCCTCTAAGTTATGTTTAATTTGAACATCATTCTTTTGTAATTGACTAGTTTCAGTTTTAACTCTCTGGAATTGATCCGATGTGGCCGTGCGAACAGGTAATGCATGGCTTTACCTATAAATGATAAAGGGGCGGAAATCATTTTAGATCTGGCTGCTGGATCCCACGATTGGCTCATCTCGCGGAGCTCAAGACGATGGAGTTGTGATGGGGGACCGACGGCAACTCGCACTCTTCATCCAAGCGTATTTAAATTGAGCCATCAAATTGGGCCTCTCATTGGTCGCATCCTTACCTCCGGTCTTTTTCCACCAATCAGAGATTCAGTTTGATGGCTCAATTTGATCGTGTAACTGAACCTCAACGGGCGCCTCCGCGACCGATAGGCGTCGCCTCTGCAGGTATCGCGGAAAGCTCCCCGAATCCTCCCAGTCGGGCGCCGAGTCCCCCGCTGCGCTAAACGAGGTTCCGGAGACAATGGATTCTAGCCACGGGATACTGGTCAGTGATGAAGTAGATCCAAAATTCTCCATGTTGAAGGGGCGGTGTAGGATGTCGTAGGTTGTTGAGATGCTGCAGGGATGCTGAGAGAGCTGGTCGGCTTCTGGCTGCGAGGCGGCGCATAGTTTTAATGGGTATTAAAAATAAAGCTACTTACATGAATGAATAACGTCAAAAATATGAGAGGACTCATTATGAGTAAAAACTTTACAATAAGCTGAAAGTATAAAAACTACTTCCGAGAAGCGAGCGAAAACGATGACTCCAGGAAGTTATCGTATTGGCGGCAAGAACCAACAAAGAAATACTTCTTACTTATATTTCACTTGAGTTTATCAATACTTATGGTGAAAAAAAATCATGATCGAAATTTTCTGTCTTGATTAATAAGATTGATCTATTTAATTCATTCTAAAGGTGTGAGGATGGCCTCTACTGAATCAATTTCCTTCTCTTCTGGTGCAATATTTAAATTTCTCAGCATTTTTTCGACGGATTCCGTATCATGTTCGATAAGGTGTCTTACTTTGTGAGCAGCTATGTCGGAGAAGTCACCGTACAGGCTGGTGTCGGTGAAGTCTCTCTGGAGAAATGAAGGGACTGTGTCCCTTCGGTAAAGGTATTTATCGTCCATATTTCCAGTGACAAACGAAATATTTATAGAATTATGAAGCCTCTTCAACAACAAAAAATAAAAGAAATACCTCTTACTTCTACTTTACTTGAGTTTATCAATACTCATGGCGAAAAAAAATCATGATCGGAATTTCCTGTCTTGATTCATAGGATTACCTGTTTCATTTATTCTAAAGGTGTGAGGATGGCCTCCACTGAATCAATTTTCTTCTCGTCTGGTGCAATATTTACATTTCTCAGCATTTTTTCGACGGATTCCGTATCATGTTCGATAAGGTGTCTTACTTTGTGTGCGGCGATGTCGGAGAAGTCACCGTACAGGCTGGTGTCGGTGAAGCCTCTCTGGAGAAATGAAGGGACTGTGTCCCTTCGGTAAAGGTATTTATCGTCCATATTTCCAGTGACAAACGAAATATTTATAGAATTATGAAGCCTCTTCAACAACAAAAAATAAAATAAATACCTCTTACTTCTACTTTACTTGAGTTTATCAATACTCATGGCGAAAAAAAATCATGATCGGTATTTCCTGTCTTGATTCATAGGATTACCTGAGTGGTGGAGGAGTGAACTAATTTTGTATTGCCAATAATGATATCTTCGATGGGGGTCGCGATATGAGACAGATGGTCCGATATTGCTTCAAAATATAACTTAAATTCATTCCATTCCTCCACAGACATAGTTATAAAATTATTCGGCATGTCTAATTTACCGAATACAATCAAAACTTGGAAATGAGGCCTGTTAACTTACCTGTTTCATTTATTCTAAAGGTGTGAGGATGGCCTCCACTGAATCAATTTTCTTCTCGTCTGGTGAAATATTTACATTTCTCAGCATTTTTTCGACGGATTCCGTATCATGTTCGATAAGGTGTTTTACGTTGTGTGCCGTAACATCGGAAAAGTCACCGTACAGTTTGGTGTCGATGAAGTCTCTCTGGAAGAATGAAGGGACTGTGTTTCAAATTTTAACTTTCAATTGTTGACAGAAAGATTATAAAAGTAATTAAGACTGAAACTAAGACAAATCTGTGACTGATCTAGATGTATTTTAAACATAAAGTTAAAAAAACTTGCAAAATTAAGAATCCTCACTTTGGAATCATTATTCCTCGGGGAAGCACAAATGTTTAGGTAAGAGTGTCGATCGGAAGGCCGAGGGCGGCAACAGGTCGAAATCGAATGTTAACAGTGATATAATTCATGGGAATTGGAAAAATATCACCCCCCCTCTCCTTGATTCAAAAATCGTTGGATTCAAAGCGATGGATTGAAACGTGTTCCAGACCATCATACTTGATAGGTAGGTATTTTGATTTTTTTGCGTGAAAAATTTTGGGTTGTTTAGCATAGTGCACGGGCATCAAGGGAGAAATTGGGCCGTGTGAAATCACCTCCTTTTAAACGCTGAATCCAAACGGTACTGCCATCATATACGCGTTCGATATCTTTTTCCCCATTTCATTTTTTAACAGGTACTTAGTGAGGTTTTTTTTTGGATTGGGCCGAAATTTCATACAAAATTTAATTTTTGTTTTTTGAGAGGACACCAAATTAGAGCGGCGGTGGAATCGTCTAGAGCTCGATACTGCTTGATGTTTGGGTAGGAGTGCTCGGCTGCCGCAATCGGCAGTCCGAGCGTGGCTGTTATCTTGAGAGGTGGAACTTCATGTGACAGTGATACGATAAAAGTGGTAAAACTCATGGGAATTGAAACTATATCGCGTCCCATCCTAGATTCAAAAATCGTATCGAGGCAGTAAACAGGTAATAGATCCATTCTTGAGGTTGAGTCGTGGTCGTGTCAGAGGGCTGAACAAGAAGTTTTGGATGACTCGTCTCAGGAGGGCTTGCGGGGACAAAATTGTGAACAATAACATAGGGTTGTTGAGTCTATTTGTTGTTTGTCACCAAAGGCGAAGTCGGATGATGTAAATATAACCTACAAGTATATAGTACATGGATTGCAAAAAATATCATGTTGGACCAAAAAAATTTAAGAATTAGGAGTTTCTGCGGGGGGTCAGTCCCAGAAATTTCCTAACGCCACACGAGCATCACCAGCTAGGAAGAAAATGCTAAGTCAGAGGCCGATGACTCTGGAGTCATTCGCCAGGGTATTAATATTTTTGAAATCGCCATATAAGGCAATAATACCAAGGGCTTCTTGGTATTGTCCAACGAGTAAATCTTTCTTTTCAGTTAATAAATTGTACTTCTTATCTGTACACTGCTTCAAAATCAAACACGACACTATAGTTATATCAATAACAATCCTAAATACTGTTATAAAGGTAGCGGAGAAAAGCGTTAAACCATAACTCGAAATAATTAAGCTGAATATAGTCATGAAAATGAGTGATAAATCCATGATAAATCGGAAAAAGTTCAAAGACGTCATACAGCGTTTATGTGTAGCAATTTTAGGCACATGTCCATTTATAGTGGTATTAGCCTTGGCTAACATTGCATTAATCTTCTGCTCTTGAGTAACAGATCGTTGAAGAACATCAGAATGAAGAATTTTTCCGGCGTCCTTAGTTGTTGCATCTTTAAGTAACTTCCTGTCTCTTTCTTGATTTTTTGCTAACTTGTCTGAATTTGTAGACACGCCATTGAGCTTGTTTTCAAGACTTTTTATATGGTTAGTTAGCGTTTCGATAGTCTTTGCTTCGGTCTTATTGTCTTTAGTAATAGCTTCCTCAACCGTCTTTGACAGCGTTGCGCTATCAACAAATGATGACGATCTCTTTGCTACATTTATAATACCTTTGTTATTCAAATCTGCGAGTAGTGGATACCTCTTCGTCACATCATTGATGACAGCCTGGCCAGGGTTATCACAATGTAGGCGAATCCTTTCGTCTATGAGCGATAGAGACATCTCACCATTAGTTTTCCTGGACGGAGAAGCCATATCTCAAAGTCAATTAGCTCGTGTTTCAGCTAGGATGGAAACCTTCAAGAAGAAAATTACTTTCAAGTAGAAAATGTGGACGACATGGATGTGGAACCCATGGGTTGCTAGAATGGAGTCTATTGTTTTTTGGGACTGGTCGTGAAAACCGTCGTCGGACCTTCTCTCAGGTACTTGCGTTCGATCGCAACTCTTCCTCTGACTCTTCGTGATAATTGGTCGGTGAACCAGCATTTACATTGACTTCCTCCATACTTGCAGAAGTGGATTGCATGTAAATGTCCGTTGTGCTCCGAGATTGTGTGATAACATCTGGTTGACAATCGTCCGCTAGCCAAGTCAGCGTAAAATTTTCCGATATCTCCGGTGTAATTGTCAAATCTGTAAATATCGTGGATGAGCAGTTTTCCACTATCTTGGTTGCGAAGCACTGCCATCCAAGACTTTTGGAATCGTTCGGCTGGTAAAATTTCTTTGCTGCGGTTTTTATGGCGTTGTAGAAAACAATCCATTTTAACCTGTTCGGATTGTTTTCTTTCTTCATCCACAAAGTCATCTCCAGAAGAGTTCTTATGAGAGGAACCATCGCTATCGGACGTAATGGTATCATACGAATTATCAAAAGAGATATCGGACGATTCTTTACCTCTGTCATTATTGTCGAAAGTTAATTTTCCTCTACGGCTTTTTCCTCCAACAATTTTTCCTCTTCCAGAAACGCCTGAGTGTTGGGCATTTCCTCCACTGTCTGTACTTCCATTGTCTCCGTTTCGTCGCCCGATGAAACAAAATGCACCGTCTTCTGTCTCTTGTTGCCTTTGCGCTTGTTCAAGTTCTAAATACTCGAATTCACTTTCTACATTGGAAAAATAAACACATTGGATCTAGAGTCCAGACTCTTGAAAACATTGACAAGAAAAAATACTCTTGATTATATCGGATTTTTGCTTGAATCAAAAGGAAGTCCGCTTAAATTAAGAGGCTTGGTTCTTGATATTTAAGCTAGATCCTGATTGAATAAAGAGTACTTTTTCTTGTCGATGTTTTTAAGAGTCTGAACTTTAGATCCAATGTGTTTTTTTTTCCAGTGTATAGACGAAAAATCAATATCACTATCGTTGAACATATCATCAAACAGAACGGATGTGTACGCGCAGGCCAAGTTTGATCCAAGGAGTGAATCGCCATGCGATTACTAGATCGCAAGGAAATGTTTTCCGTTATATTTCAGCTCAATATCTCTCTCGCGCGCCGCGCCGCGCCGTTTGCATTGACTCCATTCGAAACGGTTTTTAAAACGCCTTCAATGCCTGTGAATGCAACATGCTGTACAAACTATGTGAACTGCCTTGCGAGTGTTGTGTCTGTGCCACTCACTGGTGTCTTCTTCAGGCTTGAGTATTCAACATGCGATCCGATTGAGGGTCTGGGCTCGTCGAATGGTGTATCTCCACCTCGATGACATCGTCGCTCTCTCTCAGAATCCCTGAATGAGACTTCTTTTTGACCACATTTCTTCGTCTTCTTTGGTTTCACGAAATTTTTCGTCGTTTCCTGCATTAAGAAACGATGAAATTCATGAAATATTACGAGCCGCAAACAAAACATTTACCTTTTACTGCCTCAACCGCTGGACATTTTGCAAATATGCCGCGTTATTTAGCTGAACTACGCGTCATTATTAACAACCTTTAATACGGTCGGAGTAATCGCGATTTTGCGGTGATTTGCATGTAATTTCTCAATTTTTTTTTACTTCATGGCAGTACAAATCGCGGTTTCCCCGCGATATCGATGTGAAAAACGCTTAACTCCCTGGGATTTAACGAATCCATCGGCAATATCGCGTGAGTCACGCTATACTGAGCCGAAATTCGCGTCATTTCTCACTTTTACACGTAGGAAAACAAGCGAGCAACTATACAAACTCCAGAGTTGGTATGCAGTATCACGCGAAATTGAAGGAAAATCATAGTTTTTCAATCATTCAAGTTTCCTTCGTTCGTGAATATCATCCTCGCAGCTATCTTAAAATCGCGTATTTTCCGTCACATTGTAGTAAAAATTAAGTGATCTCTGACTTTAATTAGCTGCCGGAAACTGCGTAAACTCCTCGATAGTGAGCTGAATTACGCGTAATTTTTAATGACTTTTAATACCGCTGGAATAATCCTGTAGGGGCAACTCTACGGAAAGCGGCCAATTCTAGTCATTATGACTTCATGACTTAATTTCTCATTGGCTATACGTTCATTTATTCGAGTAAGATTTTCGATTTTCTCGTCTCTTGCGGCGATCTGCTCCAGCTTCTCTTTTCTTTCGTTCGTTCTCCTTTAACATTCTATTTTCAGTTTCTAATCTTATTATCTGTTCTAAATTTGCATCCATTTCTGCGTGGGAAGCGGGGCGTCGTGACCATTTTTGCCGTGTTTAATCTTTCGAGATACTTAAACTTTCCTCAATTTTCAAAAATCTCCGAAAAAGAGAGTTGTGTCAAATTACCAGGAATGGACTCATTGTAATATTGTTTTATAGTTTTGATTTCAGCATGAATGTCGTCAACAGAAATGACGGAAGGGTGTAGTGTACCAGATGCGTAAAACAGAATGGAATTTTCAATTTCCGTTAAAATGTATAGGAAAGTTAAACTATAGCTTAAAATGTAATCGATTGTCTCGATAGTGTGAAAGTGCGTGTTGTAAGATATGGAATTATTAGCCATAGACTTAGTCACTGAAGCAATTTTATCTCATAAAATCCGTTCGTTCGATTCAAGGCGTCTCTTCTTTTCTTTATTCTTATTAAAAATGGCTAAAAAAAGTTAAACTGTATTCTTGCTGAACCTGTGTTTCCACAGAAATCTGGCTTTTATCCAAATTTCTCAACAGTGCATAGTAACGCTCCTTGTCCGTATCATCGAGATTGCCGGTCAACCACGATAACCCACGGCCTAAGAAATTAGCAATGCCTCGAGCATATCTGGATGGACCGAGAAATCGAGTCTTTTCAAGAATTTTTTCTCCTACAGTTTTGATTAGCGTTAGCGACGGTGCATACGTGTCGTTTGAAAGTGCAACTTTCGAAATGCCAATGCCGGTTGCCACTTATGAGATGTGTGGGGGCAGGTGATAGACCGGAGACGAAAGAGATGGCAAATAAACAGGGTTTATTGAGACAATCACAAAATGGATCGGGACAACCATTGTCCCAACAGGGACACATTGGGTGGCTGAAACGGTGTTCCTAATGGAAAAGGAAGATTTCGATCCTTCTAAGACAGAAATACTTTCTTTTCCAACCTGCGATTATAAACACACAATTTTACAGTATCATATTGAAAGCCAATTCAACAAAGAAAATTGCCGTGTTGAACACATTCATAAGTATTGGAACTAAAAAAGTCCTATGAGCCCCACATTTTTGAGCAAAATGCAGCGGGCGAAATGTGATAATGTCATATACAAACAACCGAAAATAGATGATTCAACAACGCTGCATTATGAGCGGCGCAGTACGCGTTCAGCACGTTGCACTAGAGCATGGACCATGTTTTCTACAATGCTGCAATGTGAACCTCATGACGTTTCAAATATGCCAAGCAAATTACAGTGCTGGCATTGTGGAGGGCGCCGTTGGTAATGTTGGGCCTGTGAGTGACAATGTTACATTTTTGAACTGAACGAAATCTTCGTCGCATTCATTTCTCTCCGTGAACGCAACAGTCCCAGGGAGAAAGAATAGAGCAGAGTACTCGGCACTTCCGACAGAGATTTGGTAGCGGGGAGAAACATTTCTTCAGGAAGATAAAAGCCTCTGTATTCGCGATGAAATAGTTCCGTTTTTCTGTACGATTTTATTTTAGAACGTTGAACGTGGGTTCGTTTCCGCGATCAAGTGGGTAAGGCAAACTAGACGCTTTGCGATGAATGCAAGAGCCCTTCGCGAAGGCTACTTAACTGCGCCAATTAAATAATCAAAAAAACTTAGCATAAGTCGATGGAATTTATTACAAAAAACAGAGCAGTGGTCCGCAAAGCAAAGGTCAGGTGCAACGAGATGCGAATGCACCGGATGAAAGGTCGGCTCACAGCACAGCGACGGGTAATGTGGCAGGCGAGCGGGCTTTTCGCAAGTCAGCGGATGGCGGGTCAAAGAGAGGTAACGGCGATTGACATTTGCAAGTCCAGCAAGTCCTCGTCAGATGAGATAACGTAACTTGCATACGACATCATCGTCCCTGAAGTTGAAATGGTTGATTTTCAACTTAAAGATATCCCAATGACTACCGTAAATTCAACCGAAAACATTCCCGGCTCCTTTGCTCCCCAAGTTCAGGCGCCGCTACCTAACGAAACACCTATTGAATTAACAAAAAATCGAAAGTTCAATCATGTATCCCGGTCCTCTTTTCCAAAGTTCATGACCGAGTCTCCAGCGGGAAGTGCGGGTGACTCCGTTTTCATCAGGAAATGCTTCAGCCTCTGAAGTCCGAGCTGTGGCAAATCTTACCGGGAAGGGTCACACTGAGAATGGAGTAAAGGAAAAATTGGATGGGAAGGGTGTAAATTATTGTCAGGCTTTACTGACGACGGCTTACAGGGCCCCTAAAGTTAATTTTGATTTGCTGCTTGGAATTTGTTCATTTGATTCGTTTTGTTCAAAAATTAAACGAACATCATTAAAAAGTGGAGCTGATAAAACTTTTATATTCAAATTGGAAAATTGAGTACTATCCAGTAAATTATGTCTCATGAGTAAATAAGCAAAACTTAACGGATGAGGTATTTCCAAGCAATATTTTAAAAAATCTGCATATTTGCATTCTGATTTGCATATTCTACTTCTTCGTACGACGTACGATTTTTTAATCGTGTAATAATATTCGGAGGGCGTGTCCGATGCGAATAGCATTCTATCCGTATCAATTTTATTTACATGGTTAAAAATCTGAATCAAACTCATTTTGCTTATCTGGTATTGGGCGAATTTAAGTGCTTGTCGCAGACTTTTTTGGTCGTTAGGCATCCACTTGAAATGCGATTCTAGCCATAGATGACTATCAAAAAACCTGGCTAGGGGTGTTACCGTACTTTTCATAATCATACCTAATATTTGCTCCCCTCTGTGCCTCGGGACGTTTGCTGCTGATGTTCTGCTTGACTGGATTTGGTGATCCTCCGCTCTGTTCCCTCCATCGCGTCTATCTTCTTCGCCTTTTTGTCCAAGATCCTCTTTATCGCCAACAAGTCTGGCTCGGGTTTTCGCCGTCCGCCACCAGTTCATGCGTTCCTCCTTGACGATTTGATTGAAGGGAAAAATCTCCATCTTGGCCGTCTCGTACCCAATTTCCCCGGCTGTTAGTAACTTTAATTGGGCACCGCCCTCTTGATGTGAAATATATCGACAGATCACTCCATCTTTTTCTGCTGATTGATTTTGTTGCGACACACTTGCGAGAAACCCACTTTCCAAGTTCTCGTCTGATAATTTTTGTGATGTAACACCTGCATGTGCTGTTGACATCACAGAGGTGGACGGCGTGCACGTGCCTCCAGTGGGTTGCAACGTAGCACACGGCTACGGTACGAAAATGATTAAATCGGACGAAGAAAATCCAAAATTGCAGCCTGGAGACTCAAAGAGTAGGTTCTGATATTTGTTAGCCAAAGTTGCACGGTGCGATTATACAGCACACAATTTGAAAGTTATGAAACAGCCCGCTGCTAAAAATTAGGCTTTAAACACCAATAATCGCAATTCATACTGCTGCGACTCTTCCGCATTTTAATTTGAAAATTTAGATTATCCTTATAACATTTAACACGGA